AAAGGTCGTGCCAAAAACTTCTTGTCGCAGCAATTGACGACTCGAACTTTTTAGCCAAACGCTGATGTTGGAAGTGTTGGCGAGAAGGGTTGGAACTGTCATTGGTTGAGCTCCGAGCGTTTGGTGTGACCCTCCCTTATACACTCTATGTCAAGACTCTATGTGGTTTGACAGTGTATGAGAATCCAGTCAGTCCTCTATCTTTTCATGCTTTAAGGGAAGGGTATCATCGCTTCCAGACATGTCCACGAGAAAAGTCATGCAAGCAATGACTTGAGCAAGCGAACAGGTTTTGACAGTGTTGACTAGGACAGCTAGGGTTGTGGATTGAATTTGGCTGCTTGCAGTTGTGAGCCACAAAAGGACTTGGACGGTTCGCATTCCAGACATTTCAGATGAAGGGTTTCTGAGCAGGAGAAATTTTTTACATCTGCTAGGTATGCTAGGTATCTGGCCAGAGCCATCAGCTCAGCAAAAGAATGAGATCAAAAACTAACTTGGCATCCAAAAGACACCCAAAATCAGAGGGGAGCCTGTGAGAGAAGGATGATGCAGCGGGTGCACGCATTTTCCTCTTCATGTGCTCGACCTTGTTGCATATCACAGCTTGTTGCATATCATGTGCTCGACCTTGTTATTTCCTATTTCGGTACAAGAGGTGTCAGCGAGGTTTCTGCGGGAAGCAGACGGGAAGAACTCGAATTACTGTCAGTTTCAGTGACAGTTATCTTCAGGCGTTTCTTTGATGACACAGGTTCCCCTGTTGTCGAGTGCTGTTTGAAACCTGTGGTGCCTTCTGTGCAAAAAGTTTTTGGTACAAGCAAAGCAAGGGAACAAGCGAACGGATCGTGTCTTTGACTTGAAAGCTGCTTGGGGCTGCCACGGCCCTTGTTTCAACCTAGAACCCTAGAACTGTAGTTGATGGTGGATGGCTTGGGTCTGAATGGATAAAGAAAGATGGATGAACCTACCTGGGCTTTAGAAGCAAACTAATTTCTGCCCAGGTTTCCTGTCAGTTCGGGATTGCAAATTATGTTCATTTTGGAAATGCATGCTCGATGCTTTTTGCAAGTTGCGGAGCTCCGAAAAACAACTCCGAACAACAACTTTAAAATGTGTGCACTAGGTTTTCCCGAATGTGAGGAGAGAGGATTTTTTTTTCCAATTTCCATGGCATCAAAGAGTCTGGCTCTGAGAGGACACCTTAAACAACAATGATCCGCACAAACAATGATCATCATTCATGATAATTCAAAATGTCCGACTTTTGCAACTTTCTCGTGGTCGACATAGTAGTGCTTGTTTTAGGGTAAAGATGGTACTTGAAAGCTAACTAGAGATGAAAGCTCGTGCAAAAAAATCTTGTCCGCACACTTGCTCAGAAGCACACCCTAGTTCTGGCGTGGTCACAGTTGAAGGTGGGTGACAGCTGTCCGGGGAGGGAATGATCCGGCAGCACTGATCAAGGCAATTGTGATGCTTGCGATGAAAGGTTGCGATATCAGCTCCTCGATCCAGTCGCCCTGTTGTCAAAAGCCAGAGAAAAGAGTTGGATATGGATGATGTCAGGTAGGAGCACCCTCCTGATAAATCTGATAATCCCCCAGAAACTGTGCCATAAAACACTGCTGACAAAAAAGGTCCCGGACTGTGCCGCAAAGACGGCTACAAAATTGTTGAGAACAATGACATTTTTGAAGCGTGACTCAAGAAACCTGCTGTGGAGAGAGGACTCTGTGGTAGAAGCGGGAAGGGTTGGAACTGTCATTGGTTGAGCTCCGAGCGTTTGGTGTGACCCTCCCTTACACTCTATGTCAAGACTCTATGTGGTTTGACAGTGTATGAGAATCCAGTCCTCTATCTTTTCATGCTTTAAGGGAAGGGTATCATCGCTTCCAGACACGTCCACGAGAAAAGTCATGCAAGCAATGACTTGCGCAAGCGAACAGGTTTTGACAGTGTTGACTAGGACAGCTAGGGTTGTGGATTGAATTTGGCTGCTTGCAGTTGTGAGCCGTGACCGACTTGGACGGTTTGCATTCCAGACATTTGAGATGCGGGGTTTCTGAGCAGGAGAACTTTCCACATCTGCTAGGTATGCTAGGTATCTGGCCAGAGCCATCAGCTCAGCAAAAGAATGAGATCAAAAACTAACTTGGCATGAGAGAAGGATGATGCAGCGGGTGCACGCATTTTCCTCTTCATGTGCTCGACCTTGTTGTTTCCTATTTCGGTACAAGAGGTGTCAGCGAGGTTTCTGTGGGAAGCAGACGGGATGACCCTTGGCTTTGTACCAGTCTACTGCTATACAAGTTGTGAGGATGCAGAGGTGTCAGCGAAAATTTTCTGGGAAGCACACGTGAAGAATTGGAAACACATGCAAAAACCGTCAGTCCCAGTGACAGTTATCTTCAGGCGTTTCTTTGATGGCACAGGTTCCCCTGTTGTCGAGTGCTGTTTGAAACCTGTGGTGCCTTCTGTGCAGAAAGTTTTTGGTACAAGCAAAGCAAGGGAACAAGCGAACGGATCGTGTCTTTGACTTGAAAGCTGCTTGGGGCTGCCAAGGCCCTTGTTTCAACCTAGAACCCTAGAACTGTAGTTGATGGTGGATGGCTTGGGTCTGAATGGATAAAGAAAGATGGATGAACCTACCTGGGCTTTAGAAGCAAACTAATTTCTGCCCAGATTTCCTGTCAGTTCGGGATTGCAAATTATGTTCATTTTGGAAATGCATGCTCGATGCTTTTTGCAAGTTGCGGAGCTCCGAAAAACAACTCCGAACAACAACTTTAAAATGTGTGCACTAGGTTTTCCCGAATGTGAGGAGAGAGGATTTTTTTTTCCAATTTCCATGGCATCAAAGAGTCTGGCTCTGAGAGGACACCTTAAACAACAATGATCCGTACAAACAATGATCATCATTCATGATAATTCAAAATGTCCGACTTTTGCAACTTTCTCGTGGTCGACATAGTAGTGCTTGTTTTAGGGTAAAGATGGTACTTGAAAGCTAACTAGAGATGAAAGCTCGTGCAAAAAAATCTTGTCCACACACTTGCTCAGAAGCACACCCTAGTTCTGGCGTGGTCACAGTTGAAGGTGGGTGACAGCTGTCCGGGGAGAGAATGATCCGGCAGCACTGATCGAGGCAATTGTGATGCGTGCGAGATTGTTATAGCAACTCCTTGATCCAGTCGCCCTGACAGGTGGAGAAATTCAGTGGCTCGACAGGGTTTGCTGACTGTGCTCTTAGCAAAAAGTACTTCAACCCACTGCATTCTACATCTTCTACCTGTGCTGCCTTCTACGAGTCGTCGTGTCGCTAAGAGCGGTCCACATCCGCAGGGTCCGCAGGGTCCTGAAACTATCTGAAACTCGTCAGTGCAAAGGTCGTGCCAAAAACTTCTTGTTGCAGCAATTGACGACTCGAACTTTTTAGCCAAACGCTGATGTTGGAAGTGTTGGCGAGAAGGGTTGGAACTGTCATTGGTTGAGCTCGTTGGTGCAAGTCTTGTGAAGAGGTCAACGGCAACCGTCCCAGGGACTATGTTGATTGACAGTGTATGAGAATCTAGTCCTCTATGGTTTCATGCTTTACTAGGACGGCTAGGGCGGCTAGGAAGCTTTCAACAAATTCAGCGGATCGACACGGGTTTGGTGACTGTGCTTCAACCATCTTCAAAGCGCTGTCTTCTACGTGTGCTGCTGGTAGAGTCGCAGTGGGGCAGTACTCATCGTTTCCAGAGACGTGCATAGGACAAGCGATGCTGGCAATGACTTGAGCAAGCGAACGAGCGCTGACAGTGTTGACTAGGACAGCTAGGGTTGTGGATTCAATTTGGCTGCTTGCAGTTGTGAGCCGTGACCGACTTGGACGGTTTGCATTCCAGACATTTGAGATGAGGGGTTTCTGAGCAGGAGAACTTTCCACATCTGCTAGGTATGCTAGGTATCTGGCCAGAGCCATCAGCTCAGCAAAAGAATGAGATCAAAAACTAACTTGGCATCCAAAAGACACCCAAAATCAGAGGGGAGCCTGTGAGAGAAGGATGATGCAGCGGGTGCACGCATTTTCCTCTTCATGTGCTCGACCTTGTTGCATATCACAGCTTGTTGCATATCATGTGCTCGACCTTGTTATTTCCTATTTCGGTACAAGAGGTGTCAGCGAGGTTTCTGCGGGAAGCAGACGGGAAGAACTCGAATTACTGTCAGTTTCAGTGACAGTTATCTTCAGGCGTTTCTTTGATGGCACAGGTTCCCCTATTGTCGAGTGCTGTTTGAAACCTGTGCTGCCTTCTGTGCAAAAGAATTTTGGTACAAGCAAAGCAAGGGAACAAGCGAACGGATCGTGTCTTTGACTTGAAAGCTGCTTGGGGCTGCCAAGGCCCTTGTTTCAACCTAGAACCCTAGAACTGTAGTTGATGGTGGATGGCTTGGGTCTGAATGGATAAAGAAAGATGGATGAACCTACCTGGGCTTTAGAAGCAAACTAATTTCTGCCCAGGTTTCCTGTCAGTTCGGGATTGCAAATTTCGTTCATTTCGGACAGAAAGTGCAGAGTTTGCAGTGCAAGCAATGTTTGCAGGGCGAAAAAGTAGTTTGATACCTCAAAACTTTACAATTGCACCCCTTTTCCGAAGCCTGCAGAATCGAAGTGAAGAAATGATGCCAGGCTGCACATAGGTCTATATATGTGGTGATTTTGCAGCTTTGCTTGGCGCCCTTGGGGCCCAAAACTATACTGTTTCGATCTTGTCCCAATTCATCCCAAGCTTGTTAAGTAAACAGTAGCTTCAGTAGCTTCCAAGCAGAAGCGTTCAAGTTCTGCACGTTTTTCCCACCTTTTGGCTTGATTCGGCTTCCAAATCAAATCCTCATTCACGAAACATGTTTGGAGAGAATTTCGAAAGATCTCGCACCCCGAGAGAACGCTTCTTGAGAAGGATTGCTGCTTTGAAAACAACTGCGACCCTGAATGGCTGTTGCTCCCGAAGATTGGTACCATGAAAAGCATGAAAAGCATGCCACAGCAGGGACAGCCTCCATGCCAAGTCTGCCAGTGAAGCTGAGTTCTGGGTTCCCCGAAGTCACTTTTTTGATGGCCTCCGTGAAGCGCCGTGACTTTTTGACATGCTCGAATTCCTCGTTGATTTAACCAAGCTGCTGACGAAAAAAAGAGACACCTGCATGGCAACCTCCACCATCCGCACCGAGACGCTAAATCTGATTGTTGCTAGTGGCTAGTGAGAAGGGTTGTCACCACATGTGACAATGAACCTGCCAAACTTTGCGTCTCCATTTGAACATGTTGAAAGAACGCAACAAAATTCTTGTGAGACTGACTCTTGAAAGGGAATGCGTGACGTACGGTTCCGACGCTGTCATGCAATTTTGGAGACAGGTCCATTTGTGCGAAAGGAACAGGAAGGCCATAAAGGGCCAGGAAGGGCCAATGAAGTCCGGCCAGGGCCGTCCGTTGGCTGCCCGATGTTGTCCAAGTTGTCCAAGTTGTCCCCGTTGTCCCCGTTGTGTCCTGGACCAAAGAAAGACACTTCACATACCAGCTCTAAGAGGCTCTGTTAGAGGCTCTGTTAGAGGCTCTAAGCCTTTAAAATCCTGAACAGTCCTGCCATTTTGCCAATAGTTTTTCCATAACGACCTTTATTTGGCAGAAAGGCCTTTCTTGTTTGTGAATTTTCTGGCACCAGTTTGCAGCACCAAACGGCGACTTTTTTGAACGGTGGCATTATCGGACTCCATTGTCATGGCAATTTTTTTCTTCAGAGATATCGCTTTCCAAGAACCACTAAGTCACTAAGATTTCAGATGTTTTGCTCATCAACATAAGTAAGACATTTGTCCTTGAAGTGATGGATTGATGGATGGATGAGAAACGTCATTTGGCGAAGGCAGAAATTTTGTGGGCATTTTTTCAGTGACATTTTTCGATTCCGATTCGCACTTGTGGGCTGGCATTGTGAAGCCCAACAAGGCCCTGTAGGCCCTGTAGGCCCTGTAGGCCCAGGCCAAAGGTCGGCACTCAGGTCGCTCGGATCAGGCACTCAGGTGACCCATGGTGACCCATGGTGACCAGGGCCGCGGGTCATTGAAAGCATCAGCCGTTGAGATTCTAGGACAGGTAGGACAGCTACAAACATGACATTTTTTCACCAACATGTCAAGGTAGATCAAGGTAGATCAAGCATTGTGACACCGGCACTGACACTGAGATGCACGGGACTGGCTCGGAAATGTACCTCTCAAATGCACATCCTGAAACAAACACTTCAGCTCCGGCAGAAAACCACATTGTCTCCTTCAGAACATGGTGGCACTTCGACAGGACATTTTTTGAATTCACTGATGTAAAGAAAATGGCGGAATCTCTAGCTTGCAACGCTGCCAGGATTTCTCTTCAAATGCGTCGCTTGATTGGCAGAATCCAATCTTTTGGTTGCTCGTGAAAGGGCAAGTACTGTGTGTACTGTGTGTACTGGACTCAGGCACATCGTGTTTGGCACATGACCATCATGAATCCGAAGTCAAAGCACTGCCCAATGACTTGGAGCACGGAAGCCCCTCAAGGCTGGGGGAATCTTCTGTCAACGCGCAAGCGCAACGTGTCGCCAACAGCCTACTTTCGAGAAAGCGACCTCACAAGCTGCTCGACTTTGTGCTCTGGCACAACTGCAAACCTTTGCACGACCTGACTGCATCATTGTACTCTTACTCTGACTACTATAGCAACTGGTCTTCTCAGCCAATCATTGGAAGGGGGATGAAACCAGCTGTTGGTTGGCCGTTGGTCTGCCACAAGAAAATCGTCGCCGGAAGATCTGCAGTGCAGTGGGAAGGAACTCGGTGGCAACCTGCATTTGGCTGTCTCACTACTGCAAAGTGTGTAATCCAAAACAACACTTGAACGGTTGCAGAGGCCTCTGCAAGGAAAATTCGCTTCGGATTTGTGAGAAATCTAGCGAAGGCATTCAGGTTGCAACTTGGGACGAGATTCCTTTATTTGCCCACCAATTTAGTGCATCGGAGGTCAAACTCTTGAAGCTGCAGGCCACACCGGAGACGACTTCACTGACTTCACATAGGAACTGAAGCCTCGGTGTCGTTCGCTTTTGGATTCCAAAGATGCGTTCTCAGTGTTCTCAGCCAAACTTCTGCACAATGCTGGGATGTGTCAGCCTTACGACCCGTCGTCGCGGCTTACAGCCTCCCCGCTTGTTAGTCGGGTTCGGGTGGAACTTTTGCTGCTAGTGATGCTAGTGGTCAAGCCGTTGGTGGATATTACAATATAAAATCCATAAAATCCTCTTCCGGTGCGAAAAAAAATGGTGTAGAGAATTAGAATTTCCACACACAGACAAAAAACATTTAGGGCCAATGATGATTAATTATGTAAACAATATGTCAACATATGTCAACCATGTTATCAGTTTCTCGACCAAAGGCGCCTACCGAGGGGCCCCGTCAAGAAGGTGACCCGGTGACGAACACCGACGAAAGTAGTGCCGTTTTCAGTGGGTCTTGCGACACAAGTGTCTAAGTCTAGTGTGAGGCGTGGAAGTGTGTGTGGAATGCACGTATTCTAAGTTTCATGCCCTGAATAGAGTGAACAGTTGTTGCAGCTGAGATTTTTTCTCTGATCGGAAAGAAGTTCACCGTCCTAGCTTGTTTGATTCAAAGCAACACTTGAACGGTTGCAGAGGCCTCTGCAAGGAAAATTCGCTTCGGATTTGTGAGAAATCTAGCGAAGGCATTCAGGTTGCAACTTGGGACGAGATTCCTTTATTTGCCCACCAATTTAGTGCATCGGAGGTCAAACTCTTGAAGCTGCAGGCCACACCGGAGACGACTTCACTGACTTCACATAGGAACTGAAGCCTCGGTGTCGTTCGCTTTTGGATTCCAAAGATGCGTTCTCAGTGTTCTCAGCCAAACTTCTGCACAACGCTGGGATGTGTCAGCCTTACGACCTCGCATCCTGCACCAGCTGCTTTCGCTCAAATTTTGTGTTTCTGCTACCGGTTGAGCTGTTTTGCATGTCAAAGGGGCGACTTTCCCACATGCCCGGCATGCCGTGTACAATACTTATGCTGCCCAATCCTTCGAAAACTACACCAGGTACAGCGCATCTGTTGAAATTTGCCTAAGATTTGCTGTGCGAGTACCTATGAGCCTATGAACATCTGCCCAGGAACAAGTTCTGCCTCCCCGGATTTCGGTATGTATGACACATGTGTTTGACTCCAGGGCGGTTCGAACGCAATCTTGGAACTTTTTGCATCACTCGGCACTCCAAGATGGACATACAAATTGTTTAAATTGCTAATTTCTGGTCGTTTCCAGCGCTCGAACTTGCGAACGGTTGGGTGCAACTGCTCTATCCTGCCATTTTCTTTCAAAGTGAGCCATAGTAGACCCAGTGCGAAACAATATGGGAGTAGAAGTGCTGAAAAACTGATGTGTCTTGCTGCTCTGCCCTGACAGACATTGAATGCTGCAAAATTCAGGGCTAGTTTGAAAGCAGTTCGTACAATCATCAGCTTTGTATCCACGCCACATTTGACATGGCGTTTTCAGATCTCGCGGAAAAGCGCTGATTCGGCAGTGGAATTGGTTCGTGAATTCAGATTTTGGGTATCTTTGGGTCCTTTGGATGTCAGATGATTTCCATTGATTTCCCGTATTTTGAGGCCTCAAAATGTGTCAAATGACCATGTCACTCTTTTGTTGAGTCGGATGTTCCGTGCTGGACCATTGCAACTGGTTTTTTGAGTCCCAAAGAAACCTCCCAAAATTCCACAACTCCCCGAAGCTGCCTCAAGGCTGGTCCGGAAAGCTATCCAAAGCTTTGCGGCAAAACGTACACAGAGATTCTCAGCTTGTATGCAGGCAATTTGATGTTGAGAACACCTTAGTTCAAATGGCTGAACATACAAATCAGGTAAGTATCCTAAAGGCGCCGCATTATTATATTGATTTCCCATAGCTTCCGAAAATTGCTCCCCAAAATTATTCCGCAATACTGACTGGGAAAAAGGTCATTTTCCCCCAATTTTTTTTAATTCACAATAAAAAATTGCAAAAAAATAAATTTTCGGCGTGCACTTGTGATCGCTGGCAGATGCTGGGAGACCACCGATTTTCTCGAGTGGTCGAGATTGCGACAAATGAGGCTACATTTTGGCTCCAGATTTATTCGTTTATCTTGCAGGGTTTTTGGGCATTTGCAAACTGCCTTAGTTCTTCGTTAGCAGAGCTCAGCAGAGGCCGATGTCAATTGGCTGAGGAGAGAGTTGAAGTCTTGACTGATTTACATTGACTCTAATGCAGCAGATTCGTAGCATTGGACTTTTGCATCTTTGTTCGGCTTCGAACAACTTGGTAGACAAGAACAGGATGTCAGTGATGTAACTTGGTACTGCAACCAATGATGTAACGTTGATGTGACTGTATTTCAGGATGTCAGTTGATGTGGATTTTCAGGATGTCAGGGTTTGGCACCAAGTTCGATGGCAGGGATCCGATTTTGGTACCTTTGTAAGTCATGCTTGCTTTGGAAGTCTAGTCTGGTCTCGGTGATGTTGCTCCTGGCAGCAATGATGCCATACTGATGCAAAGGGATGCCATTTCATGGCGATCGAATGGGAAAATTGAGCAAGATGGAAGGTATCAGGCCCCGAATTCGGCAAATGGCATGGAAAACAGGCACGGTGACTTGGTGTAGTCCAAAAAACCTAAATTAAAAGTGGGCAAAAAGGAAACAAAAACATCAAAACACAAGGCATTTTCTATCCTTTTTGATCCTTTCTGCGTCAGGGCATGAATTTGGCACAGCTGACACATGAGTCAATGACCTCCTTGACCGAGGTGCGCCATGGCGGCTTTGGGGCCGTTGCCGGGTTGATTTGAGGTCCCTGGAGCCATAAAAGGTAGCCTGGTTGATTGGTTCATATGGTTCATATGGTTCATATGGTTCATATATAGGGCCTTACCTCATTTCTTGGGGATTATATGGGATTATGATAGGCCATATTCTAGGGAAACATTTGTTTACACCCCTGTGGTTTGGCTGTGTCAACAGCAGTTTGAATCTATCGATTTCGGCGGGTGCACTCCACATATTTGTGAATCGAACCAATGACATGGCTGAAGCCTAGCTGGGGTTTATCTGCACATCTCGTGCTACATGGTTCAAGCCAGTTTTAGCGGCTTCTTTTTTGAGCAACTCCGGCCCACTTTAGACCTTTTGAATTTTTGGTGGCCATGGTGCGTGGAGCAAGGAAAGCTATTGCTGTCGGAGTTGCGGTGGCTGTCGGATGCGGTCTCCAGAAGCACTTGAATTTCGTGCCTGGGCCTCGGCATGCTGCTCCAGTGGCCGCAGCAGCAGCCAGCATGATGATGGCTCCTGCGGCTTTTGCTGATGAGATCGGCGATGCTGCAAAGAAGCTTGGGGATGCTTCCTACTCTTTTGCCAAGGAAGTAGACTGGAACAATGGCATTTTCCTGCAGGCCCCTGGCAAGTTTCAGCCCTTGGAAGCTTTGAAAGCCATTGACAAGATGATCGAAATGGGGGCAGCCGCAGATCCCAAGCTTCTGAAGGACGCAGCAGAAGCACATCACAAGGCCATTGGGAGCATCAGCGGGCCAAATGGTGTGACTTCGCGCGCTGACTGGGATGCGGTGAATGCAGCCATTGGCCGTGTTGTCGCTTCGGTCCCCAAAGCAAAGGTCATGGCCGTTTACGATTCAGTGAAAGCCATCACGGACCCCGGAGTGCCAGCGTACATGAAGTCCTTGGTGAACGGACCCGATGCCGAGAAGGCCTACCAAGGATTCCTGGAATTCAAGGATGTTGTTGAAAAGAACCAGGTGGCCACGGCCAGTGCTCCTGCAGTTGTGCCTTCTGGAGACAAAATTGGTGAAGCTGCAAAAGCCTTGTCCGATGCATCCTACCCTTTCATCAAGGACATTGATTGGCTGTCAGACATTTACTTGAAGCCGCTTCCCGGCAAGACTGCCCCAGAGACGCTGAAAGCCATTGACAAGATGATCGTGATGGGCGCGAAGATGGATGGAAACCTCTTGAAGGCAGCAGCAGAGGCACACCACAAGGCCATTGGCAGCATTGATGCCACTGGTGTGACGTCTGCGGCCGACTACGAAGCTGTGAATGCAGCCATTGGCCGCTTGGTGGCATCCGTGCCGAAGACAACTGTGATGGATGTGTACAATTCCATGGCCGGCGTGGTTGATTCCAGCGTCCCCAACAACCTGTTTTCGAAGGTGAATCCATTGGATGCAGTGGCTGCCGCCAAGGGTTTCTACACCTTCAAAGATGTTGTGGAGGCTTCCCAGCGCTGAAAGTGAAGACCAGCAGCATGAAGTTGCGACATTGCTTCAACATGCTTTAGCAGAACACTTTTTAAATTGTTGTATAGATACAGAATGTTACGGACATCTGTAACAGTTTCTTGACATTTCTTGACCCAGAAGCCTCTCAAGCCATGGGAAAAAAGGAAGATGCACGAAAAATGCTGTCAGGTGTACTTTGACACACTTCGACTGCCGAATCGAAAATGGTGTTTTCATGGTCTTTCGTTTTTGGTCGAGGCCTGTGGAGAGTCTTTTCACATGCTGCAATCCGGTGGTTGAATGAGGCGGGGCTTAAACATGGAGGGGTTTTGATGCCATTACACAATGCCAAGATGTCATCTCTTTCATAAGCAGTTTCTTCCTGTCAACAAAGTACCCTCCTGAAAACTCAGGTTTGGAAAACCCACCTGTAGATGATTTTCCTGGGAAAAGCAGGGTTTTTCCACATCTGTTTGTAACCCAAGGCATCGGCCAAATCGCCCAAATCCGTGAGATGGAGCATGTCAATGCCAGGAGCTCAAAGAGCGACTGCCGAATTTGAACACTGTATAAACATTATAAAACTGTATATCATAAGCATGACATTGAATAAACTGGGATTCAGATGGATTCAGAAATTTATGGCAAGGTCGCAAGAGGTGCTTTTCTCTGTAGCCATGAACTTGTGGTGACAGCCAATTTGTAAGTTTTTTTTCGTGTAAACAGACGCTCTCTATAGTTATACAGTTATGCAGATGTATAGAGATGCTGCAGTTGATTGTGTCAAGATCAAGTCGTACCTCTTCAAATGTCATTGGCTCAAGCCAATTTTAGCGGCTTGTTTTTTGAGCAACTCCGGCCCACTTTAGAACTTTTGAATTTTTGGTGGCCATGGTGCGTGGAGCAAGGAAAGCTATTGCTGTCGGAGTTGCGGTGGCTGTCGCATGCGGTCTCCAGAAGCACTTGAATTTCGTGCCTGGGCCTCGGCATGCTGCTCCAGTGGCCGCAGCAGCAGCCAGCATGATGATGGCTCCTGCGGCTTTTGCTGATGAGATCGGCGATGCTGCAAAGAAGCTTGGAGATGCTTCCTACTCTTTTGCCAAGGAAGTAGACTGGAACAATGGCATTTTCCTGCAGGCCCCTGGCAAGTTTCAGCCCTTGGAAGCTTTGAAAGCCATTGACAAGATGATCGAAATGGGGGCAGCCGCAGATCCCAAGCTTCTGAAGGACGCAGCAGAAGCACATCACAAGGCCATTGGGAGCATCAGCGGGCCAAATGGTGTGACTTCGCGCGCTGACTGGGATGCGGTGAATGCAGCCATTGGCCGTGTTGTCGCTTCGGTCCCCAAAGCAAAGGTCATGGCCGTTTACGATTCAGTAACAGCCATCACGGACCCCGGAGTGCCAGCGTACATGAAGTCCTTGGTGAACGGACCCGATGCCGAGAAGGCCTACCAAGGATTCCTGGAATTCAAGGATGTTGTTGAAAAGAACCAGGTGGCCACGGCCAGTGCTCCTGCAGTTGTGCCTTCTGGAGACAAAATTGGTGAAGCTGCAAAAGCCTTGTCCGATGCATCCTACCCTTTCATCAAGGACATTGATTGGCTGTCAGACATTTACTTGAAGCCGCTTCCCGGCAAGACTGCCCCAGAGACGCTGAAAGCCATTGACAAGATGATCGTGATGGGCGCGAAGATGGATGGAAACCTCTTGAAGGCAGCAGCAGAGGCACACCACAAGGCCATTGGCAGCATTGATGCCACTGGTGTGACGTCTGCGGCCGACTACGAAGCTGTGAATGCAGCCATTGGCCGCTTGGTGGCATCCGTGCCGAAGACAACTGTGATGGATGTGTACAATTCCATGGCCGGCGTGGTTGATTCCAGCGTCCCCAACAACCTGTTTTCGAAGGTGAATCCATTGGATGCAGTGGCTGCCGCCAAGGGTTTCTACACCTTCAAAGATGTTGTGGAGGCTTCCCAGCGCTGAAAGTGAAGACCAGCAGCATGAAGTTGCGACATTGCTTCAACATGCTTTAGCAGAACACTTTTTAAATTGTTGTATAGATACAGAATGTTACGGACATCTGTAACAGTTTCTTGACATTTCTTGACCCAGAAGCCTCTCAAGCCATGGGAAAAAAGGAAGATGCGCGACAAATGCTGTCAGGTGCAATGCCAAAGAAAGGAGCAAAAGTGAACTTGGCAAGTTACTTTGACACACTTCGACTGCCGAATC